ATATTCTGAAGAGAGTCCAAATGAAAGAATGATTCTCCATTAATGGTGAGGTCCCCTGGGTGTATCTATTTGTGAATGTCACTGACTGATTGCATCAAAGCCCAGAACATTACAGAGTCTTCTCAATCAGAACCAATTATCCCCCCCCAAAAAAAAAAGAAAGAAAGAAAGAGCCTAATAATCCATATAAGAAATACTAAGTGGATGAAAAATGGACTTCCTCAAATAAGACACTCCATCTTCTGACTCGGAGCATTTTCGCTATCTGTCCTCCACACCTAGAACTCTCTCCCTCCTCATCTCTGCATCCTGGTTTCTCTGGTTTCCTTGAAGTCCCAGGTAAAATCTTACCTTCTACAGGAAGTCTTTCCCAAAGTCCCTTGAAGCTAGTACCTTCCTTTTGTGGATTATTTCCAACTTATCCTGTATATCGTTTGTACTTAGTCGTTTTCATGTTGTCTCTGCCATTAGACTTTCAGCTCCTTGAAAGCAGGAACCATCTTTTACCTTTCTTCATATCCCCAGTGGTTAGGACAGTGCCTGACTCATGATGGTCTCCTGGTAAATGTTTATTGACCTACTATGATATGCACTAGGAAAGCCAGTCCATTGAGTTACTACATCAGTACATATATCTGGAACAGACCCTGAAGGTCTTCAGAGTTGGGCCCAAACTGAATAAGAAGAAGAGAGAGGGTGGGATTGCAGTTGGGAAAACTGTTTAATATTTTTAAGGGTCCTAAGCTGCCCCTTTGGTATAGCAGATAGTAGCCCTGGCATCAGGAAGACATGAATTCAAATCTCACCTCAGACACTTCCTAGCTGTGTGACCCTGGGCAAGTCACTTAACCTCTAGCTGCCTCAGCTTCCTCATCAATAAAATGGGGATAACAATAGCACCAACCTCTCAGGGATTTTGTGAGGAAAGACTGAGATATTTATAACGTGCTTCATAAACCAGGAAGCACTATATAATCACTAGCTATTACTACAGATCATCATCATCATCATAGAATGAGACTTCCAACATGTTCACCCCTCTAGCATGGGCAAATTCTCTGTGGAGAAGCTACAGAAGAATAGGAACAAGAATTACAAAGGATGAGAAGGTTGAAATCTGCTCCAGTAGAGTGACTACCCACACTAGTAATATCTCAGAACTCTTCAAATATTGTAGTAAATTAACTCTGTCTACCCATCACTGAAGTAACCACACGAGGTAAAATATGATGTCAACCACCACAAGGAAACGAAGGGGTTGGGGATAAAAATACTTTAAAATATAACTAGAATCAAGGCTATCCGTAACAATTGATTTTTTCAGTCAATCTGACTCTTCAGGACCCCATTTGGGGTTTTCTTGGCAAAGATGCTGGACTGGTTTGCCATTTCCTTCTCCAGTTCATTTAACAGAGGAGGAAACTGAGGCAAACAGGGGTCAGTGACTTGCTCAAGGTCACACAGCTAGTAAGTGTCTGAGGCCACATTTGAACCCAAGAAGATGAGTCTTCCTGACTCCAGACCCAGCACTCTATGCACCATGGCACCACCTAGCCGCTAGATAACTGTTGATGGACTAGTGCTGTTTCAAAGAGTGGGCCAGTAAAAGATAGTTTGACTGGTATCGTTAGAGTTAACTTTCCTGCTTCCCTCTTCTTCATTCTTACTTCCCTGCTCTGCATTCCAACCTCCTTATAAGGTAATTTAGAAAATACCTTCATTTTACTGGTCCTACAGAGAACTGGGAAGGCAGTCTCACACTGGTATCATATTGTCTCTTTATCTAAAATGCTATATAAGGTCAAGCCTTGAGGACCTCAGAGCCTTCAGCTAGAGTGTGGCTAGCCCACCCCACCTCCAACCCCTCTGTTCAGACCACTTAAGTCTTACAGGCCACATGCCATGGCTGTCCTGCTAGCAGCTGCTTTCCTCCTCCTCTTGGGAGTAGCAGGAAAGTTTGTTAAAGCTATCTCTGTGTGGGATAATGTATTTCATCTGGACTGGATTCCTATGCACTGCAGAGAATAACTAGTAAAACCCACTACCTGAAAAATATTTCCCTCTCTAGTTAAAATACACTCCAAATCTGTTAGGACTTCATTCCTTTAGTTTAAGATTTTATACAGGCCTGTAGATAGAGTGCCAGGCCTGGAGTCAAGAAGACTCATCTTCCTGAGTTCAAATCTGACCTCAGACACTTATTAGATGTGTGATCCTGGGCAAGTCACTTAACTCTGTTTGCCTCAGTTTCTTCATCTATAAAATGAGCTGGACAGTGAAATGGCAAACCACTCCAGTATCTCTGCCATGAAAATCCCAAACAGGGTCACAAAGAGTCAGACATAACTGAAGAGCAACATACATGTGTGTATGTGCTTATATGTATATAGGTATATGTGCATGTATAGGTGTGTAAGTATAGGTAGAGATGTAGATATACATCTGGGTATATATGTATTATTTATGTAGATAGGCATACATATGGGGTCAGCTAGGTAGCACAGTGGATTGAGTGCTAGACTTGGGATCAGGAAGACTCATCTTCCTGAGTTCAAATCCAACCTCAGACACTTACTAGCTGGGTGACCCTGGGCAAGTCACTTAACCCTGTTTGCATCAGTTTCCTCATCTGTGAAATGAGCTGGAGAAGGAAGTGGCAAACTACTTCAGTAGATATTCAAATGGGGTCACGAAGAGTCAGACATGACTTAAATGACTGAAGAACAAAAACAAATTAAAATACAAACATGTCCAGCATGGGTTACACCCCCTAAACTGTTATCAATCATTTATCCCTTAGAGTAAATGAGTTGTCTATCCTTTCTTTCAAGATTTTGCAAAATGTAGAACAGAAGGATTCTTAGTATCCAAGAGAGAAAGTATGCTACATCACTGAGAGGAAAAAAGGATGGAGAATCATGAGGCTGGGAACCCAGAATTTTACCTACTTCACCATTTTTCCTAGAGCTGGCTTTAGCTAGAATCATGTTTTGGGCACCAATCCTAACAAAGCACATGGTACCACAATTCATAATAGAAAATTAAGATACTTGGTTCGAATGAGCCATTTTTAAAAATCCCTTAATCCCTAGAAAGACATAGATATGATGTATAAAATTAAACACGAAAAAATGCCATTCAATCTTTTTTAAAAGCTGGATTTGAGAAGCAAAACTCCCAGAGAGATAGAGCTGCGTTTTAATATCTGGATCCTCTAGAGGGATACAACTTTCCCCAAGGTACCAGAAATAGATCTTTAATGTTAATTAACATGTACCGAGAGCGTTGTTCTCCAGGTTGGTGGAAAAGATCAACCCACAGCCCAGCTGGGTGGATTGCCGGTGGGCTCTCAGACGGAGTGAATTTATTTACAAGCCTGCCTTACGCTTAACAGGTACTAGCTTCCTGTGGAAGGAACTTCTGCTTTAAGAGACTAGGTAAGATTCACCCCTGTGAATGCATGCAGAAAGCAAAGAAGGCTTATTATTACGGATCTAGCTAGACGACACCTCAGGGCCACTGAGGCCTAGGAAACTCGAGTAACAGGCCCGAGGGAAGCTCAGTGTTATCAGAGGCGGAATTTGTAACCAGGTCTTCTAACTCCAAAAGTCCGCACACCTTCCTTTGTACCACACTAACTCTATATTTATTTAGATAAAGTACGTTGTTATTCAGTCATGTCCAGCTCTTTGTGACCCCATTTGGGGTTCTCTTGGCAAAGATACTGGAGTGGTTTACCATTTCCTTCTCCAGCTCATTTTACAGATGAGGAACTGAGACAAGCAAGGTTAAGTGACTTGCCCAGGGTCACACAGCTAGTAAGTGTCTGAGACCAGATTTGGAGTCAGGAAGTTCAGAAACTCAGGCCTGGAATCAGGCCCGGTGCTTTCTCTATTGTGCCACCTAGCTGCCCCCATAAAAGCACTAGCTGAAGGAATTGGGAACTTCCATCTGGAGAAAAGACGACATATTTCTTTATTTCTTTGTGAGATATTCTAGACTCCATTCTGTCCAATAAAATTGTTTGGTGAGGCAGAAATAATAAGAACCTTGAGAGGAAGTGACCACACTATCACTGAGTACATATCCAGTCATTTCAGTCATGTCCAACTTTTCATGACCCCATTTGGGATTTTCTTGGCATAGATCCTGGAGTGGTTTTCCATTTCCTTCTCCAGCTCATTTTAGAGATGAGGAAACTGAGGCAACAGGGGTTAGTGACTTGCCCAGGGTCACACAGCCACTAAGTGTTTGAGGCCAGATTTGAACTCATCTTCCTGGCTCCAGGCTCAGCATTCTATCTACTGCACCACCTAATTGCCCCTAAAGAGATTACAGAACTGTCCTATTATACCGTTTCTGTCCTCATCCCACCTCCATCACTTCTACCCATAGTGGGTGAGTTACAGATGAAACTTGAATGTCAACATTTTGAAGGAAGTGTGATGTGATCTAGGTCCCAAGATGAAGGGTATAGTAGGAAGGAAAGAAAGAAGAAAGGAAGGAAGGAAGGAAGGAAGGAAGGAAGGAAGGAAGGAAGGAAGGAAGGAAGGAAGGAAGGAAGGAAAAGGAAGGAAGGAAATAAGCATTTATTAAGCTCCGAATCTGTACCTGGCACTGTGCTAAATGCTTTACAAATATTATCTCATTTAATCCTCACAAGAACCCTGATAGGTAGCTTCTATTATTATCTCTATCTTACAATTGAGGAAACTGAGGCAGACAGAAGTTACATGACTTGCCTAAGATCACACAATAAGACTCTGAAACTGAATTTGAACTCAGGTCTTCCTGACTCCAGGCTCAGAGCTATATTTATTGTGCCATCTAGCTGCCTCTATATAAACTGTTCAGTCCCTTTTTCTTTTTTCAATTACAAGCATTTTTTTTTCTCTTTCTATCCACCCCTAATCCAGGATTTTAAAAAATTTAAAATTTTAAAATTAAATTAAAATTTAAAAATTTTTTAAATTTAAATTAAAAAATACTAAAAGCTTTGTCACAAATACACACAGTTAAGCAAAACAGATTCCCACATTGGCCGTGTCTAAACATGTCTATCTCATTTTGCATTTTGAATCCATCACTTCTGTCAGGAAATGGTTATCATAGATCATTATCAGTCCTTGAAATCATGGTTGATCATTGCATGGCTCAGTGATCTTAAGTCTTTCCAAGTTGTTTGTCTTCGCAATGCTGACGTTGTCGTACAAATTGTCCTCTTGGTTCTGCTCATTTTATTCCAGGCATGGGGGACAGCCTGTGCAGAGACATGGAAGAAGAGATGGCACATCTCATTTTATATATAGGGCTACTTTGTTTTGAGCATATAATGCATAAGGTTTGTAAACAGCTTGAAAAAAAAAAGGTATTTTAAGTGCCCAGACAAGTTACACAGTAGCTCCTACAGAGACTCTGAGGGCATCATATCAGAAAAGAGCAGCAGCCACTTCTAAATAAGAAATTTCCAACTTCGCTCAGCCCTGTGCTATTAATTGGGAAAATGGCATCTGGGGGTTTGGGAGCAACAATCCTTCCTTAGGCCACTTGGTGGCGCCAAAGCAACATCAAAACCCTTTCTTTGTGAAAAATGTTACCCACATCATCACCTGGGAGATGTGCACCCCTGCCCCACTCCTTCCCTTAGGTATTGGGGGGAGAAAAAAGACCTGAGTAAAATGGAATGCATTTTTGACCATGAACACTTCATTGCCTCATTAAAATTCATTTTTAAGGGAATTTCATTTGTTTACCTTAACATTTTTTTCGTGAGGCACAAGGAAGTCACACAAAGTTGTTTCTTGGAAAGTACAAAAGCTCAGGCTTATTTTCCATGCAGAAGCCCGTTCCTGAGAGATGTGAGCACTTGCTGTTTCTATGTGGTTAATAAGAATGGACAATGAAAAGCCACAAATAACAATTTGGATTAAAAAAAAAAAAGATCTCCTTGGATGTATTGATCAGATTCTGCCTCCCTCAAAGGAGGCACTGAGTCGGAATTAATGCAGTGAAAAGAGCAGTCCAAACACCTCAGTTCAAATTCAGGCTCCATCCTTTACTCCCTGTCTGACCTTGGACAAGTCAGCTAACTTCTCTTGGTCTCTGTTTTTCATCTGTAAAATGAGGTGGTTGAACCAGGTAACTCCAAAAGTCCCTTCCCGATCTATATCCTATGATCCTATTATGAGTGGAGCAGACCGTCACGGAAGCTCACAGGCTAATGAGGGAAAGAACATGCAAACAACTGTGTACAAACAGGATAAGCACAGAATAAATTAGAGATAATCAACGGAATGAAGGCACTGACACTAAGTAAGATCAGGACAGGTTTCCTACAGAAGGTAGGACTTTTGGTGAGAATGGAAGGAAGAGAGGAGGGAGAAATATTCCAGGCAATGTGAAGAAAATGTGCCTGGGAAACCCCAACATGGGTCCTCTGATCTCCAGAGACAAAGAATGTGCCAGCCTCCCTGTACGGCTCTGAACTGGGGCACTCCTCAAGTAGTCCCTATAAACCTGAGCTGCCTGGGATATCTGGCCCCATCCCATGTCATCAGAAATCCCCAGAATCACTCAAATTTAAAACATTTTTCAACTGCCTCAAATATTTGAAGGATTCTGAGGGCAGAACCTCCTAGTTGGTCCTGGATTTACCTAAGAATGATCATAAGTAACATTTACATCTTAAAGAATGCAGAGAGTTTTACATACAAGGGTCTCACTTGACCCTTACAACAACCCTTTGAAGTCAAGTACTGCAGGTGTTTTAACACAGTTTCAGACAGTGTAACAAGTCTCAGAGCTGAGCCTCGGCCAGAGAACTAGGCAGAAATGGGGGTCAGGGACACAGTCACCTTGGTCTTTTTCCCTTGACTCCAAGCCTAGCATCCTGTCACACTGTATTTTCACTCTTATATGTTAAAAAAAAAAAAAATCTCCCAGGTGAAGACTTCTTTCATCAGCACAGTCCTTTAGAATGTAAGATACTTTTGTTATCATTGACTTCTTTTTTCAGTTGTGCCTGACTCCTTGTGACCTCATTTGGGGTTTTCCTGGCAAAGATACTGGAGTGGTTTGCCATTTCCTTCTCCCGGATCATTTTACAAGTGAGGAAACTGAGCCAAAGAGGGTTAAGTGACTTGCTCAAGGTCACACAGCTAGTAAGTGTCTGGGGCCACATTTGAATTCAGGTCTTCCTGATTCCAGGCTTGGCGCTCTATCCACTGCGTTACCTAGTTACTTTTAGTCTCTATTAAAAAGAAGGCATGGTTCACTTTCCACCTACCTCCTTCTACCTCTTTACGTGGGAGCAATAATCAAATCAACACTATCACTGTTCCTGGATAGGGTGGGTCAATTAACTTTCCGACCTAATCTAGAAAGTAGGACCATGGTATTCAATTCAATTCAAAAAGCACCCAATCTTTTAATGCATGGATGACCTCAGAGATCTAGAGAGCATGTCTAAAGGTACAGGTCATAAACCAGCCATTCCTCACCCTGTGCAATTCTTTTCCAAGAACCCCTAGAAAGACATGACTGAGCTGACGCTCCTGGGTGTCCCCTTAGACGGCCCGTCTGGCCCATGGGGTATTCTGTAACCATTCCTTTTTTTGGCCCCAGTCAATTGTGACTTGGCCGGACCAAAATACTCTTTCTTGGCCACCTCTCCCCTAGGTTACCTCACACTATTAGAATATGAGCTCTTTGGGGGAGGGGACTATCTTACTTTTGCATTTGTATCTACAGTACTTAGTACAATGTCTAACACATAGCAAGTTTTAAATAAATGTACCATCCACTCAAAGTGGGATGGTAAATCCTATCTCATTTTTAATGATGACTTCTTCAAAAATTCTGGTAGCCTTTAAATCTTGCCATCTGGGGAGTCTCTTGGCCAGAGAGGGGGACCACAGATCTCCTACCTTTCCTGGTTCCTACTGGAGGCAGGGTGGAAGACATGAAACACTCAGGCTATCTTGAAGAGATGTTACTTGGGCACAGTGCTGAGGCTGTATTAATTTTAAATGCTCACTTTTATGTTTTCCAGCTGTTAGAAATAGAGCCCCTTGGACCCCCTCAGCAGGGTTGGGAAGTTAGCCCAGGCAAGCTGCTGCAGCCCATTGCTTTCCCAGTTGCAATGCCGAGTGTAGTCTTGCTCTTAGTAACAAAACTAAGTTCGGAGTGGAAGAAGAATCGTTTATTACTGTTCTTGCAAGAAGCGGGTGCACCCTCTTGTGGGAGACGCACACTGTACAGAAGCAGGAACCAGCTTTTATCTTCCTGAACCGCCCATCCCATGTTCTTCCTTGTCATGTTAGTCCCTCCCAGTTCATGTGTCCCATGTTCAAAAATGGCGGCTATCTGGGGGTGACACACCTCGGGGTGTGTCAGTTAATATTCAATAAGCTTATTAAGCAAGCACAGTGGAGAAAAATCGTTGCCCAGTCCTTTACCCTGACAAGTTGCAACCTGTTTAGCCTCCAGGGCTCTTTCTTAAGGAACTAGTTGTTTGAAGAATATTTGGGGCACTTTCTGATTGGCTGAGGGACTATCCACAAGATCTTGGAATTTCCTTGTTCTGCTGTGGAAGCCTGACTTCTAATCCTTTCCCACACAGTTTAGATTTAGATACACAAAGGGCAGAGGGAAATGTGGAGGGAAGAACTTTAAAAACACATATACACCATATTTTTGTGTGGTTAGGAATTTGGATCAGCTTATGAACCAAGTAAAAATCTGTCCCAAGCCTCCAATGCTCCAAGAAGTACAGTACGGCACAGCCTGTGAAAATTCCTTTCCTTTCCAAAGGATTCCAAGGGAATCTGTGCCCTCAGGAAGAGTCAGAAGCAGGAAGGGTACATCAAGACATGACTTGGCTAACGCTTCTGGGTGGCCCCTTAGACGGCCCATCTGTCCCATGGGGCATTCTGTAACCATTCCCTTTTTTGGCCCAGGGCAATGTCTACTAAAACATCTTCCCTGGAGAAGACAGAGCCTGACTCTGCCCCAAAGAGCAGGGGAAGAATGGGTCGGAAAAAACTACAGTGCCCAACCTTCCCCGTTTTGGATTATGTCATACATGGGTGAACTCCCTTTCTTCTTGAGTCATACATAGAAGGGAGTGTCGCTAAAGAATTTCTCCCCAGGATTATAAATGATATGGACAACAATATAAGGACGATTCAGTTTTTGTTGGGTGTGCCTTCTGTTAAATGTTTCTTGTACTGGGGAAAATCTCTCAGATCTAGAGAGAAATGAGAGGGTTGAAATAGATTACCTTAAAGGTCCCTTCCATTCTTCAGTATATGTCTGCCTCATGGAACCCCTGGTTTTAGTCAATATTCAGCACCTTCTCCAGAAAGCACTTGCCAGATCCCAATCCGCAGTACCTTCCACTCCCAGATTCCCTTGTATCTCCTTTGTATGCATTTTGCATTTACCTATGTATATGGGTTACCTCCATTAGAATAAAACCTCCTTCATGATAAGGATTGTCCTGCTTTTGCCTTTGTTATCTCCAGCTCTTCCCACAGAGCCTGACATATACTGATGATGATGATGATGATGATGATGATGATGATGGTGGTGGTTGTGGTGGTGGTGGTGGTGATGATGATGTTCAGTCACTTTAATCATGTCCAACTCTTCATGATCCCATTTGGGGCTTTTTTGGCAAAGATACTAGTGGTTTGCCATTTTCTTCTTCAACTTATTTTACAGATGAAGAAACTAAGGCAAGCAGGGATAAGTGACTTGCCCAGGGTCACACAGTGTCTGAAGTAAAATTTGAACTCTGGGAGATGAGTCTTCCTGACTCCAATCGGAGTGGTCTATCCATTGTGCCACCTAACATGCCATAGAGTCCAATAAATGCTTGTTGATTGTTTTACAGATTAATATGCAGGGAAACTTGGAGCAATTGGGAAAAGCCCAGTCATTCTGCCCTCAGGCACTACCTAATCTAGAAAGAAGCACCATGGCATTCAATTCAATTCAAAAAGCACACAATCTTTTAATACATGGATGACCTCAGAGATCTAGAGAGCATCTCTAAAGGTACAAGTCATAAACCAGTCATCCCTCACCCTGTGCAATTCTTTTCCAAGAACTCCTAGAAATCTTCCTTATTGGATCCAACCAAAGCCCTGGGAACCTTCCTCTAAATCTTTTTTTACATTCTGTGGGTAACACTACAAGACTGTCATTGCCTACTTGTTACCATTGCTATCAGCATGTAATCAGACTATTGCTTTTTCCAATTATACCTATCCATCCACGTCGACTGAATACTTTTACACCAGCCCTTGTATGCAAATCATCATTGGCAATACACCACAAATAGTCTTTGGTTATATACTACACTAAGCTGCAGTCTACTTAAGCCTATAATATAATTCTCCATTGCCCTTGGAGTTGCCCATGATTTTGATTCTTTGGAGACTATGGTATTCTTGAGCTAGGTTGATGACACAGTCTAGCCTTGGAGTCTGGAAGACTTTTCCCCATCCCTGTTAATTCTAGTACCTTCCCTCTATTGCTTATTTCCTATTTATCCTGGGTATAGTTTGTTTATGCGTGATTGTTTTCACATTGTCTCCTCCATTAGATCAATCTCAATAAAGCTCCTATTATGAGCCAGGCACTGTGCTATGCACTGGGGATACAAAGAGGCAAAAGAGGAGGTGATTGAGGGCAGGAGCTGTCTTTCGCCTTTCTTTGTATGTGCAGTGATTAGCGCAGTGCCTGGAATATTTTTGTTGTCCTTGCTGTTCAGTCATTTTTCAGTCATGTCTGACTCTCTACGACCCCATTTGGGGTTTTCTTGGCAAAGATACTGGAGTGATTTGCCATTTCCTTCTCCAGCTTATTTTGTAGATGCTTATTGATCCACTGTTTGAATCAATCCTGCCCGGACATTTTGTGATTCTGGAAGTTACTTAATTAACCCCTTCTCAACTTCAACTTCCTCATCTGGAATATAGTAACAATGACAGCATTTACCCCATCTGAATATAGGTAAATGTTAGCAACTATTATTTTAGAATCTTCATGTGCTTATAGTTTGATGATTATTTGGGGGGGGCTGGGGAATGGGGTTAAGTGACTTGCCCAGGTTCACACAGCTAGTAAGTGTTATTTGTCTGAGGTCGGATTTGAACTCAGGTCCTCCTGACTCCACAGCCCGTGCTCTATCCACTGTGCCACCTAGCTGCCCCTGATGATTATTTTTTTAAAAAATCATTTGACTAGGTAGAGCAGAACAGCCTTAAAGGCTCTCCCCCAGCAAGGCACATCCCATGCATATGTTAAGATCATGCAAAATACTTTCATGATGCAACAGCAGAGATAACTTTGTTTGACAATCCTCAGATTACGAATACCAAGCAAAGTATAAAACAGGGAGCTATGAACAGCTCACTACAGGTATCTGCCACCGTTGTGAAGGATGGCTAGCAAAAAGAGACAAATAGAAGAGGTATTCCCCAGGGAAAGATTTTCCAGATGTTCCTGTTTGCAGATGATATTGTGCTGATAACAGCAAGCTCAGGAACACAGCATCCCTTAATGAGATTCATATATACTCAAGAAGGGGGAAGGGAAAGGGAACCATCATTTATTAGGTACCTACTATGCTCCAGGCACTTGCTAAGTGCTCTGCAAACATTACCTCATTTGATCCTCACAACAACCTTGGAAGGGAAATGCTATTACTGTTATCCTCATGTTACAGTTGAGAAAATTGATGCAGACAGAAGTTAAGTGACCTGTCTAGGGTAACCCAGCTAGTATCTGAGGCTGGATTTGAACTAGAGTCTTCCTGACTCCAGACCCAGCACTGTACTGCCACACTTAGTTTAGGGGCAGTTACACCTCCCTAAGTCCTGACCACCATGACTGTCAGGTGCAGTCATGGATATTCTCTGTGAGTAAGGCAACAAATAGGAATTCAGTCCTTATGTACTAAGTATGGGGAAAGGTAAGGAAATGAATGAATTGATGAATGAATGAAAAAGAATTTACTCAGCACTTACTATGTGTTGTTCTATGTACTGGAGATACAGATGTAGAAGTGAGACAGTCCCTGCGCCCTCAAAGCCTTAGGTTCTAATTGGGGACAACAATAAATACGTGGCAGCGGGGGCCGAGGAAGTATCTTTGAAGTTATCAATACAGTGAGTTGATCTGTACCACAGTCAGCTGATACGTCCTAGGTTACTGAGCCCAGAACAAGAACTGGAAAGTTGGGGGAAGGGCATGTTTGTGTAAGAGTTCAGCCTCACCACCCACATAAGAAAAAGTAAATGAACAACGAATGCCTATTGTCCAGATTATGATATACGGGTGGAAGGACAGCCCAGGGAGTATGTATGTGAATAGATGTCATTTGGAAAATGGTATCAATAATAGCACCTACTACATGGGGTTATTGAAAGACTCAAATAAGATAACAGATATAAAAAGCTTTGCAAATATTGAGGCACTACATAAATGTTGTTCAGTCTAATTCGTAACCCTGTGGACCATAGAACATTAATACTATCCATGGGGTTTTCTTTCCAAAGATACTGGAGCTGGGGGGCAGCTATGTGGCACAGTGGATAGAGCATCAGCCCTGGAGTCAGGAGGACCTGAGTTTAAATCCAGACTCAGACACCTGACATTTACTAGCTGTGTGACCCTGGGCAAGTCACTTATACTCAATTGCCTTGCCAAAATAAATAAAAATAAATACTGGAGTGGTTTGCCATTTCCTTCTCCAGCTCATTTTTCTTTTTTACAGATTAGGAAGCTGAATCAAATAAGTGATTCACCCAGGGTCACACAGCCAGTATGTGTCTGAGGCTAGATTTGAACTCAGGTCTTCCTGACCCCAGTGTTATTATTATTATTATGTATCTGGAAAAGACATTGCAAATGGGCAATGAACTAGGCCCAGAATCAAATAGGATAAAGAGGATAGGCTGGGAAATTATATTATATGTTTCAACATCCCAGGCTGGTCCTTGAAACAAAAACTATCTGTATAACACCAGTATTCTTCCAGCATATGAACTGTCAGAATCCTCATGCCAAAACCACCCTTCTCTTTTTACTCTTAGGAGCATATCAAGAGATCTGATGGATGGCTTTAGGCTGCAGCATGTCATCTCCTTTTGGCTCTCAGGTCCCTGGGAAATAGGGGGAGCCCTAACAAATCCAAAAATCACAAATCCCTCAATGAACACTTG